AGAACAGTTAAAATGCAGATGTCGATATTTCCTTAGAGATTGGTTGAAACTTTTTTATTCAAACAATTGACAGGCCTTTTAATATCATCTCATGTCAAGAAATCAAATACCTCATTCCCAGTTCTGAATAGCACGGTGATCCTTGTGCTCCTTTATATACAAAAACTGGAGCAGTGTCCATCCTAGAGGAAATGTGATCTCAGAATTAGGAATGCCAGAGAGGCAGGATCACACACAATGGTCTGGCACATGCTAGATTTTGTTGTGTATCATTCCTTGTTCTTCAGTAGTGTAACATTTCCCAACATATTTTTCTAGTACTCCTGCTTCATTTCCACTTGCATGTTTAGGATGGATAGGTTTTTAAAAATCAAAACTAGAGTCTGTGGGTTCCATGGGAGATTGTGACTGCTTCCTGCAGAAGCAGTACTGAGAGAGTGGTAGCACTGGCCAGATAGAGATGCCAGCTTCTGGGAGTCCTGCTGCTACCCTTGCTCTGCAGTCAGAAAGAGTTCCTGCATCTGTGCTCCATGCCTGCCCTGTCCTCCTCACACAGCAAAGACCAGCTTTTTCAGGAAGTGGGTGCGGAGTCGGAAACACAGTGCTTTGGGATCCAGCAGTGGACAACTCTAAATAGTAAGGATGTTTCTGAATGATGGTGTAACCAGCCCAAGAGATGGTGAAAAGAAATATAGCAGCCTTCCTTGTTTGTTGTTCAGATTTTTTCATTGACAGATTTCTCAAACCTCTTTTTAGCTATTTCTTACCTTTCCTTTGTATTGTCTCTCCTCTGATTCAGATACATCTCAGTGAAAGTAAGAAACATTCATTTTAAGGGAAATTCTTTGTTTGTATTTGCATAAAATCATCACACCATGCCTGTGCAGGTCAGTGTCCATTTGTGTGGTCTGCCTGTGAAAAATCTAAGAGTTCATGAAGATAATTTTCTCGTACTGTGCACAGCCTACTGCAGAGGAGACATAGCTGCCACCAAGGGATCTGTGCCATCAGAACATTTGGTTTCTAGTCTCCCAAGTCCTCTTTGTTTTTGATCGTGACATTTCTTCATGCTCAGATGCATAAGTGATGCAACATTCTTTGTTGATGTTCTGAAATGTGTTTTGGAGTTATTTTGGCATAGCACAAAATAAGAATGGGGCTCTTAACTTTTCTGGTTGAAATGTTAATCTTGATTTTTTTTTTCTCTCTCTATCTTCTTCCCTTGCCTTTCTGTACTGTGCATAAAGCTTTAAACTCAAGACTGGTATTTAATAGACCCTAGACAGTTTTGTTGAAAACAGGGCAAATGAGTTATCTCTCTGGGGGGTTTGTTGGCTTTTATTATGCAGGGGGAGTATGCTCTGCAGAGGAGCTCCTCCCAGCCTAATTGTTGAGGAATGATGAAAGTTCAACAGCATGGAAATTCGGCTTCTTGCTTCAGCTGTAAAGGTGCTTACAAAGGTAGCTAGGCTATTCTAGCAATTTGCCTTATTTTGAAAATCCAATTTGGAAGCTTCATTAAAGGGCACTAATTTAGTGTCTTAGGGGAATATGTGTTTAAGGGAGCTTGTCAACAGTCTGAGATGTTTGCCAGTGTGTAGGTGAGCTCAACTCCCCAAGCTGTGGTTACCTGGTTACATGCAGGCTCCTCCATTTCAAACACAATGCCAATTAAACTCAAAGCTCTCAACAGTAACAGCACCTCCTTTCTCCCCTGCTAACATCCCCCTTTTCCGCCTCCCATCCCTAGAATTAGGGTACATTTGGTACACCATCTGCAACTGATACCATGAATCTGGCATATGAAAGCCCAATAGGAAAACAACAATTTTAGTAAATTTATATGTCAGGCCAAGGGCCTTGAAGGATGGCAACTGTTTCAATTGTTTAAGGAAATACAAACACTTTCTAAATGCCTCCAAGAGTAATTTATTGCTCACTGCCTGCCTAATACTCCCCAGAGTATATTTCAGTCCCACACTGGGACACGACATTTTAAAATTGGATAGTCAAATGTTAATTATATACATGGCCTCAAATAAACTCTAGCCTTCTCCAGTTCCTAGTAGGTTGACAAAATATTATGAGAAAACGTAGAAAAGTTCATTGAACCAAATTCACGTCACTCTTCTTTGGGATGTTTCCTTTTTTTCGGAAAAAAAATATTAAAATCTGTGAGAGATTGCATTAATTTTTGTCATGAAGTTTGTCTATACACTGTTAAGATATGGAAAAGTTCTGTTTTCTTCCATATAATCACTGGAGTTTGTGATCAGAATACTGACTGAATTCTCCTTCCACCCATTCAATGGTGATAATTTCTAATCCACTTTATAAGACTGAGTTATATTTACTCTTAGTGAATTCTGTGAGTAAAATCTAATTTGTTGTGAAGAGACTGTTTAGAGCTAGCTGCTATGGTTTCCTGTTAATAGATTACCCATCCCTCCATTCAGGAGAGGATTAGGTACAGTCCTGTCCAGAAGAGAAATGAACACTGACCCTTTATTCGTGTGGTTTCTGTTGTATGAGGTTATGACACAGAAAAACCTGACACAATTCAGCATTAATAAAAATAAGTTTTATAAACTATGACTTGAGATAAAGGAAAAGAAGGTGATTAGGAACACATCTAATAATTTTCCTTTAAACTTCATGCAGCTAGAAAATACTTAAATGTTTTGAGGCTGACTGAGAAGGAATGTTGGAGATTCGGGTCAAGGTAGCAGTCCTGTTTTCTTTAGGTTTGGTTCGCATAAAACCCTACACAATAGATTAATTATACTAGTAAGAACTGAACCCTAATGGAGAAAATTTCTAATGGTTAAAAAAATAACTCAATTCGACAAGGCAAATACAATGTTATCTGTTCTACTTTATAGCAGTTTTCTGGAAGCACACATAAAAGTTAAGATTTACAGTCAACATTTCAGCATATATGAACATGACCACCCAGCTGTCCGTGGAAATCATTTTTCTGTAGCACTGTGGAAGGCACATCTCTAAGTCTGTGTACAATGTCTGTCATTAGGAGTGGGTGTCTGTCATAAGTGAAACTACAAAGATGTGAATATTTTCATGACATGGCTTTATGCTAGGTCATTTGTTGTCTATTCATGAGGTTACTAACTGCAGATGGTAGAAGTTGCTTTTTCTCTTCTGCAATTTATTCTGGAATGGGGCTTTCATTGCACCAGATCCACAGTTATTCCGTGTCTACATTTTAGGAACTGAATTGTGGAGTATCATCACAGTGAGCCTTGGCATTCCGTGCAGGGGTGTACAACTATAATTTTGCTGCATATTAATAACAACCTGGCAGAGCAGCCCAGAATCAAATGCCTTGCTCGCAGCTGGGGGCCATATAACTAGAGCGGTATATCTTGGCTGGTGACCTATAACGTTGGAAAAGCAGGCTCTGCAGTCTTTCAGAAGGAGTGGGTGGTATTCCAGAAATTTATTCACTCTCCTTCACTATTCACTGCTTTTTTTTTTTTTTTTTTTTTTTT